TTCTGTTTAAAGGCACCGTGTTTAATATATATTCTTGGTTCACTGACACTGAACTCAGGGCCACCGGCTCTGCGACTCAACGCCTGCATGGAGCTTACCTAACACCTCTGTGAGGTGCATGGCAGCCTCCTTGGGAAAGGACACCACCAGCACTTCTGCAATGTGGGTGGGGGCATGCCACACGGGGAAATCACCAATCAACAATGAAAAGCATAAACATGTGGAAAGTGAAACTCGATTGACTACAAAGTAGACGCTTGTCAACAGTGTGAGGGCTGAAGCAAGAAGTTGCCCTGCAGACTCTTTCCACCTTGGGGGACACGAGCATCAGCGGCTCAGATTTCTCACCCCATCTGCACGTCCATGGATGACTGCAGAAGTGCCTCCAGTGTGGCTTTAGGAATTAGAAATACGTTTTTGTGTTAATTTGCAAATATGGAATCCATGCACACGGGGCTCGGCCACATTAAAGTTTGCAGTGAATGGAATGAACGTGGGGAGATGTCACGTGGGGGCCGGAGACTTAGTTTTCTCCTTGAAAGAACAGTCACAATCTTTTGGAGAGGAAGTGAGAGTGGGGAGAGGAGGCTTGAGAAGAGTAACGCAGTCGGAATGGGTGGGGGATTGGCAGGCCCAGCCCCATCCCGGCCCCCCCTCCCCCAGGAAGAAGGCTGTGTTCAGCTCTCCCCCCAGGGCACCTCTTGGAAGCGTTCCATGGAAGTTGATTACCTGGAGAAATTCACCAAAACTCCCTGGGCTGGATTTCCACTGAAAGATGCAGAGGATTCTTTTCCTCCCCAGGAGAGAGAATGAAGAAAGAAACAAATAAAACTTTATTTTCACCCAACAAGCAAACACCATAGCCTCCAACCACAAATTCTGAAGCGCACTAGCCCCATGCCATGGAATGTGTACCGAACTCGGCAGGAATCTGACACCCCCACGTTTCCCTCAGGCCTGAACATGGAGCGCAGTGTCCCAGAAGGCTAATAGCCTTATCCAGTGGTTCTTTGCTTGGAGCCACAGGGTGAGGGAAGTGGGCCACTTCCAGTGGAGGGGATGTGTCCCTAGAAGCTTCTGGGAATGTGGACACACCAGTTCTTCTCTCTTACCAGCTCTCTAGACGGGCAGTTGCCAGGCCAGGAGAGGCATAGCCATGCTAGTTCTAAGTGTGATCTAAGGACCTGCGGCCTCTGCTCTACCCAGGAGCTTGCTAGGAAGACAGTTTTCAGCCACAGAGCAGACTGAATGAATCAGCTCTGTGTGTTCACAGGACCATCAGGTGACGAATGCACTTGAGACTGAGAAGCATGTCCTAAAGGCCTTTGAAATGATAATAAAGTCCTGCGAAGGTGGACTGGGGAGGTGGTTCAGCAATAGAGCACTCATGTAGCATGCTCAAGGCCCTGGGTTCTGTCCCCAGCACGGCAGAGCAAACACAGTTCTAGGAAGATGTGCCCTTAAGTAAAGGAAGTAAGAGATCTAGGAGCAGATGGCATGTTAGTGAGTTGAATGCGAACCTGCATATTGATGCAGCTCCCTTCCTTGGCTTTCTCACGAAGGCATATTCCATTGGTAGCTGGTCATAATTAAAGGTAAAGATAGGAAGGAAAAAGAAATCTAACGTGTGCATAGGTACTGAAGGAAAAAGAAAAGTGGGATGGTGGAAAAGGCAGACGGAGACTGCATTATCCGGGCAAACAGAAGACAGGTTCAAACAGTCCTAGTTTCAAAACATCATAGACGACACTCATTTTATTGATTTTTTTTCTTTGATACTAGAGATGGAACCTTTGGGCGTTCAACCACTGAGCCACATCCCCATCACTTTTATTGAGGGTGGGGTGGGGGACAGGGACTCATTAAGTTGCTTAGGGCCTTGCTAAACTGCTGAGGCTGTCTTTGAGTTTGTGATCCTCCTGCCTCAGCCTCCTGAGCCACTGGGATCACAGACATGTGCCACTGTACCCGGCTTTGATTTTCATTTTTAAAAAACCCCAAGAAACTTAAGATTTTAAAACCGAATTAAAGTCAATATGAAGAGATTCAAAATAAGCTGGCAGGGATGAAGAAAGAATAGAGTAAAACGAGTACAGAGATAAAGGTACACAAAGACAACCAAAAAATAAAAATAAAAATAAAAATTAATGGGTGGTCATGGGATAAAAGGAGTAGCAAGGGAGATAATTTGTCCCCAGTCGAGCGTGGTGTGGCTGCAGACTGCGAGGTCTCCAGGCCACTGTGTTCAGGAGGTCATTCCCAAAGACCCAACTTCCTGGAGGCCTGAGCTGGCACTTTGTGGTGTGAGCCAATTCCTAGAAGGTGCTGGATCAATCCATAAACAGAGACAAAGTCAGTGTTCGGGGCACTTATTATATACCAGATGTTTTCTTATTTTCCCTGGGTGCTTTTAATAAATTAAAGAATAAAAAAATTGTGAAACAATTCAACTTAGTAAAAAAAAAAATTGTAATGCAGGAAAAAAACAAAAGAAGGAAATTTAAACAACCACATCCCAATGCCCAACAGGAACACTCTGAAAAAGCATTGCACTATTTCCAAAGATTTATGAAAAGGTAGGGGAAAGGTAGGTCTATTTTCCCCCACATGTGATTATATTGTATATTGTTTTTACCTTTTTTTTCCCAGATAACATACTGTGACCATTTTTTTCCATTATTAAATATTCGACATCATTTTAATGCTTCTAACTTTACATTGAAATGCTTTGATTTACTTGGTCTTTTGTGGCCCTGGCTGGCAGTTTACTAAGTATTTACTTAGTAAATATTTGTCAAATGACTGACTTGAGTGGATGTTGAATCGTTTGGTTGTATTTCTAAATATTTGCTGTTGCAAATAGCAATGCAGCAAACATCCTTTTAGCTTTACCATTAACACATCTATCATTATTTTCTGAAGCTTAATCCTCTAGAATTACATAGGTATGGAGTGTGACAATCTTTAAACTTTTGAGAGCTTCCAATTGTTCATACCAATTTGCACTTCCACCTATGGCATAGGACTATGTATATGTCAGGCAACATTTAGTATTTTATTTTATTTTTAAATGTTTACATAGCAGCTTTATTCATAATTGCCCAAAACTGCAAAGAATCTAAAATGTCCTACAAATGGGGAATAGATAAAACAAATGGTAGAACATCCACACAATGGCGTATGACTCAGGAACAAGAACTAATGTTAACAACCAATGACATTGGTAAATCTCAAATTTATTATTAGAAAATTGAGTCTCAAAAAGTTACATCTGTATAATTCCACTTATATGACATTCTTCAAAACATAAACCATAAGGACAAAGACAAATCAATGATTACTAGAGGTTAGTTATAGGGGACTGGTTTTAACTATAAAGTAGCAGGAGTGAATTTGGTGGGGGTAGGCTAATAGGACCGTTCCATACCTTGATTGTAATGGTTATTACATACCTCAATGCATAATTTATCAAAGCTTATATAACTGTAACCCAGAGTAAATTTTACTTTTTTTTTTTTTTTTGCAGTAATAGGGACTGAATTCAGGGCACTCTATCAATGAGATACAACCCCAGAACTTTTTATTTTTTTTATTTTAAGACAGTCTTGCTAAATTACCCAGGCTGGCCTCAAATTTATAATTACCCTGCCTCTGCCTCCAGAGTAACTGGGATTATAGGTGAATGTCGATATGCCTGGCTCCAACGTAAATTTTAAGAATACAGGTTTAAAACTTGATGGTGTAAAATAAGCCTATATACTGTCTGATTCTATTTATATGGCATTCATGCTAAAGCAAAAACACAGGGACAGAAAACAGATCAGTGGTTGCCAGGAACTGAAGATAAGGGAAAAGAGTTGACAACAACAAGGACTGCGGAGTTTTGGGGTGAAAACAAATATTCTGTATCTGGACTGTGATGGTGGTTCACTCATATATTAATGTGTCCAAGTCCACAGAACTTAAACTAGAAAGGGTAAACTTTATACAAATTATCTTAATTTTTTAAAAAAGAAGAGGAAAAAGATTCAATAACTAGCTTTAAGTCAGAAACAGTGGTGCACATCTGTAATCCCAGATACTCAGGAGTTTTTAAAAAACTTAAGATATGCTACAGGTGGAATATCTAGAATCTAAAATTCTTATCCCAACATGACTATTTTAGTTCTTCTATTTGATTTTGGCCAAATTATGTTCCCATGTTTCTCAATCACCCAGATATTTCTATTTTTCATCCTTGTTTACCAGAACCATTCAGGAATTAAAAAAAAACTATTTTAAATATTAAATTATGAAATTCCAACTGGATGTGGTGGCACATGCCTGTAATCACAGCTACTCGGGATGCTGAGGGGGGGTATTGCAAGCTTGAGGCCAGCCTGGGCAACTTTCAAAACTCTGTCTCAAATAAAAAATAAAAAGGGATGAGGATGTAGTTCAGTGCTTGCCTAGTTTGCCTGAGGTCCTGGGTTAAATCCCCAGTACTGCAAAAAAGGGTGCATGTATATGCATTTGTATGTGTGTATGTGTGTGTGTGTGTATAAATAAAATTCTATATGGTTGTAAAATGGCTTTGGCAGTCTCAGTACACAATTTTTCATTTTAACACCTATCAGGAGAGCCTTATAATATGATGTGAATTAAACTGGACCTCATTCAAGGAGACTATGAGAACAAAATTTTAGCTAGACAATACCAGGATTTTTAAAGCAAAAAAAAGAAGAAAACGCATTTTAAGGACTTGATAACAGAGACTGGCACACAGTAGGTGCTTAATTAATGTACTTTTGTTAAGAAGGCAGTATAATGCAGAGGAAAGGGCCTGCATAGGGTTTTAATCACACTTGGTGCTACCAGTTAATGTTGTCTTGGGCATAACCTGTCAACTTTCTGAGCCTATTTATTTATTTATTTATTTATTTTTTCTGAGCCTATTTATTTTTCTTATGATATTAATCCCATACCAGTATAGCCATACTGAGAATTAAGGAGGTAGAGCTTGTTGCAGTTTGTGCACAGTTAGTAACTAACTCCTTCCTTTGGCTGTGCCTGAATACAGTAGAAGTCCGCACTTTCCAGACAGAAGAGCCTATAGTCAGAAGCTTTCTCCTGTGTCACCTGATTCCATTCTTAGGATCTGGTTAGGTAAACTTTGGGTGCCAGCCTGAGAGGCAGAGGCAAGAGCAAGACTAAAGGGTATATATTCATGGTCAAAGGATGGTATGGAAGTTTAGTGTAGGTAGCAAAGACTGAAGTAATGTAATGCCCACTCCTTACAAATATATCAACTCTGGATAAATGGCTAGGAACTGAAATTTTGTACAAGAAACAAAAATTCCTAGTAAAATGAGATTGTTTCAGTTGTAATCTTCTATCCCAGTCCCTTTACAAGAGCTTGTTATAACTTGGATCCTGAATGTATCCCAAAGGCCCATATGTTAAAAGACTTGATCTCAGGGTAAAGTAAAACTTTTAGGAGGTGGGGCCTGGTGGGAGATCCTTAAATCATTGGGATATTGAAAGGGATTGTGGGACTTCAGGCACTCCCACTATTTTTTTTTTTTTTCCTTTTTTTGCTTCCTGGCCATAAGATGAAAGGTTTTGGTCACCACATGTACCAGCTTATCTATGCTATCTCACCAGAAAGCCAAAGCAATAGAGCCAATCAATCATGGACTGGAACTTTTAAAACTTTAAGTCAAAATAAGCCTTTTCTCCTTATAAACTGATATCTCAAGTATTTTACAATAGTGACAGCAAGCTGACTAAGCCAGGCCCCTAGTAGTGCTTGGGCCTGATGCCCTTGTCTGAGTAGGGTAGGCCCTCCAAGAGGTGATAGTTAATTATATTTTAATGGGTAGGTTCCAGCCACTGGGAAAGAAGATAGCTGGTGCAGTCCCAAATACAGCAACTCTCTCAAGGACACACTCTGAATAACTGGTATCAGAACTCTCCAGAATTATGGAATTCAAATGCTGATGCTGGATAAGGTCACACAAGGGCAGGGATCAGCCAGAGCACTTCAGTTAATGGAATTTCTCCAATTCTCACATATGCCAAGATGGGACTTGTCCCTAAAGCACCCAGCTGCCCTACCAACAGGTACCTTGTTTTCTCCTCCTACAATATAGTCTCTAACACACTTTAACACCAGCCAGGCTTATTTGTTTTCTTCTTCCCTTTATCCTATCTCCAGACCCTTGCACAGATATAAAAAGGCTCATCACTATTCCCCTGTCCCCACTGCCACCCAAGTGAGGACCTATGAACTTGGAAGAAAGATGCATGGCCAGAAGCCCATTATAGGGATACCTTGGTGGTGATACCTCTCATTGAATGGTAAACAAATCATCTTCCCTGCAGGGGCTCTAGGTCTACTAACAGTCTAGCCTTTATTTGTACATTCAGCCGTCTAAGAGGGCTTGTGGGAGGTCATCCTTAATATCAGCTCAACCTACGGGGTGGGATCCTAGGATTAAGAGTGAGGGATAAATTGTTAGCACCTGGGCTCTGCTGATATTTTCTCTTATAAAACACAGCAGGGATTAAGTAAAGTTCACTGGATTTGGCAACTCCAACCTCTCTAGAGAGAATGGAGGGAACAGTATGGGGAGGGGACACACAGCATGGGAAGTTTTTTTATATATATAGGTACTTCCGAGAGAACCAAACTCCATTTGTACTCCCCCATCCTATAGGAACCAGTGCTTGGAGGGGGAGGGGAGTGGGATCAACTGATCAGTCACCAGCACTGTCATCACCGTTGCCCGAGAGGTCGAGAACAGACATCATGGAATCAGACAGCTTGCTGGCGATTTTATCTGTACGCTTCTGCATCTTCTTCTTATTTTTCAAGGCTGATGCCAAAGCCTGACCCTGTTGCAAGGGATCTGTCTCCATGATCCTCTGCAGCATCGGACGGCGGTCGACTGGGCTAACATCCACCACACTGTTGTTCTTGGGAAGGGGGTAGTCCACATTGCGTTTAGCCCACCCCATCTGATGACGGTTTGGATTGGTGCAATACCCAGTGAGGTCTCCAATCTTATATACGGTGGTTTTATTTTCAATGGCATCTGCTATTTTCACCATCGGAGAATGAAGCCACTTAATCTCCATTTCGAGCGGGTCTGTGTCACCCAACAGCTCATCTGATTCTCCGGTGGCCAAGCATTCCATGGTGTCTTCATTGGCCTGCTCAGTATCTTCAATGTCAAAGACCTCAGTCATTTCCTTAACAATCTCAGCACTCAAGTGGGCTGGTAGAGTGTGGGTGGGTGGTGGTGGTGTATAGAAGCTGATCTTTCCACTCACCCAGTCAGCTAGGACAGCTTTAGCAGCCTGCTCCTGACTGTATAAGCCTCCCTTCTTCTTCTTTCCCAAGCGGTGGGCCACTGCAGTCAGAAAGTGCTCGGTGGTCTGGAACCCAGAAACTCCATAGTAGTTGGAAATCTCTTCCAGGTTGCAGTGCTGTAAAATGGTCTCCACTGGGGTCACAGGATCTGCCAGCTTCTGCACATGGATGCAGTTACGCAAAATAGTGCCCACCTCGGAGTTGGGTCCTGGGACAATGCCTGGAGCATCCAGCAGCCTGATGAACTTGTCTAGGTAGACCTCCTGCATGAATTTGGTAACCCCAGGAACGGCTCCCACACTGCATGCACGGCTGCGCTTCAGGCTATTGATCAGGCTGCTCTTCCCAACATTGGGAAGGCCCACGACACCCACACGGATGTGGGTGCGTACTTCACCCAGGCGGCAATAGTTTCCCAGAACCCTCATGAGATTTTCAGCTCCAAAGCAAGCTTTGCTTTTTAGCAGCGATTCAGGGGCTTGATCCACTGGCACATTACACCGATTCAGGTTTTTGACCTGATGTTGAGTGCTGGCCTTAAAAGCCACAGTTGGCAGCTCATTACGAAGGTAATCCAACCACTTCTCCACAATCTCCTTAGGAACCAAGTCAATCTTGTTCAAGACCAGGACCAGCTTCTTGTTGCCCTCTGCCCGCAAAACAGCCTCCTCCATTTGGAAACACCGACACCCCAATGGGTCTCTGGCATCCAGGACTTCCAGAATCACATCAGAGTATTGTACTACCTTACGGAACTCCTTGTAATAAGCCTTCCTTGTAGCCTCATCATCCAGCTGAGGAAACATATTTAATTCCTGCAAAACCTCCTCCTTGCGTTCAAACTCCTCCTGGCGTCTCAGGACATCCTGACAGTAGCTCTCAATGGTCCTGCGTCTGTGTCTCTCTTGCTCCCGGGCAGCCTGCTGCTTCTCCCTCATCTCCTCAACCCTCTTCTTCTTTAATTCTGCCTCCCGGCTGGCATGATCATTGCAATGAACAAACTGGGGAGCGGAGGGCACTTTTGAAGTTGCTTTCTTTCCATTTTGCTTTATAGGCTTCTTACAGCCTTTGGAACCTTTACCTGGCTTTTTATTTTTGTGTCTGTGCTTCATCATGATGTATCAGTCCAGCTTAAAAATGGGTAATTCCAAATATGTCCACTTTTTTCCTACACTTCCGGCGGGGATCACAGAGGAGAGGGTAGAACAACCACCAGGACGGAGGACATGCGCTGTACGGCTAGGTTCCGACTTCCGGATCTCAGCCTCGCGAGGCGTGATTCCGTCGCCGAGCTCGGCTCCGCCCGCTGCGCGTCCTTTTCCAACATTTAGTATTTTAAAAAGCTTTTTTTTTTTTTTTTTTACTTTGATAGATCAAATATGGTATTTCATTTTAGTATGATTTCTAATCCTTTTATGCTTAGCAAGATTGAACATTTTTTCCATGCTCATTGAGCATTTATATGTCTTTCGTGACCTTCTTATGTATGTTGCTTATTTTAAAATTTTGTTGTTCATCATTTTATAAGTGCTTTTTACATTTAAACTATTAATCCATTGTGTGTATATAAACTTACAATTTTTCTAGTTGGGCATTTAAATTTCTGTATAATTTCTAAAGACTGCCTAGTCCCTCTAATCTTCAACTTCCTTTTCTATGCTTTGATTTTGTGATTATGAAGTCCTTATCTACCTCCAGAGTTTTGGAACTATCCATGTACTGTGTTATTACCCCCATTTTGCAGGTAAGGAAGTTCATGGACTCTAAAGCCAAAAAAGTAGCTCATGACTCCCAATTTCAGCTTGACTTCGGATTCCTATGCTCTTTCTGCTGACTCTGGGTGCCTCCTTTATCCTGCAATGCTTTGAATTACCCATGTCGGTTCCATGGAGCGACTGGTGTACCTAACTGTGGAAGCCAAGAGGTCTCCTGCCATGGGGAGATTCCACATGAGAGACTAGAGCTGATCCCAGAAAGTCACGGGCAGTCTTCTCTACTGGCCTTTGCAGGAACATGGCTGGCTCCCAGTGGAGGAAGAAGTTTCACCTGCTAGTTAATTCCATGGAGGCTGCAGAGGGAAGGGAGAGCTGTGATCTTGGCCTCAGATGCTCTGTGTGATCCCCGTCAGTGCTCCCAGTGCCCATCAGCCCTCATGACAACCGACCATGCTCATCTGCAGGCTTTGGGCAGGAGCAGCACTAGAGAGAGGGCATGTTCTCCCAGCATACTTGTTAGACTTGCCCACACAGAGAGGACACCAGGCAGGTATGAAGAGGGGCTTTTGGGGAAACAGATAAACAAAACAAACCTAACTTTTGTAAGTTAATTTTTTGCTTTCTCTAAGGGTTTCCCCATTATTCCTACAAACAGTTCTCATGTGATCTAGAACTGGCATATTGTAAAGTAGCAATGAGTACAGTCTTGGAAGGAATACTTTTCCCTTCTCTTTTTATAAACTTCTCTTTGAAAATAAAAATCTCTAATAGCTGAGCGTTTTAACTATTTGTCTTTATTGTGATTTATTTTCACTATTTCCCTTAAAAATCAAAGGAGGCAGTATAGAGTAACTGAACAATCACTTATTGAATCCCATGTTGCCTGATATAGGAAATATGACCTGTTTTGTTTGTTGCTATTTTTCCTTAAAAAAAAAAAACCACACACACACACTATGGTACATTTATTCAATAACAGAATACAGTCGACTCTTTTCATTGATAAAAGGATGAAGTTTTAATAATTATTCAACCTCCTGACTTTTGGGAGAGGAGTATTTGGCAGAGATTTACCCTGTAACCTCAGGGAGACTTCCCAGTGGTTGTGGAGATTTCTTCTTGGCCATAAACCTGGGATGCTGCCCCTGTAGGTGTGCCAGGCCTGGTGGTATGGGCTGGGGATCGTGCATGGTGTTGCGGGGGAGCTGATGGAACTGTAGTTTTCCTGGCAGTAACACCAAATGTCTTCCATGATCTGTGTCACTGCTACCCACTGAGCAAGGGACTGGGGCACTGAGGGCAGCAGCATCTGTAGCTGCAGAACTAAGGCATCTCCATGTTAACCATCAGACTGTGGAGTCCTGACTGGGCCTGGGCCCTGGGTCTACCCTACCTAAAGCAGCTCCAGTTGGTCATGAGGCTGTGGCTGATCTTCAGCCGGGTGGGAACTGGGCTGGTGTTCACACTATGGGCTGCCAGTCCAATGTAGCTGTGCCAATTTGTTCTTAGATCCTCCCTCTCTTTTCACCTTTTGATTTATTTTATTTTTTCTCATCGCACAGTAATAATAATATACTGTCAAAGGAAAGAAATCGGAATAGAGTAGATTGAACAGAATGTGACCACAGAGGCCCCTGAGTGAGGATGGGACCCTGGTCCTTCTGTGTCTCTGGAAATGTACCCATAGCCTGCCCACTGAGAGCTTCAGTGCCTGTACCCCAAAGGCTCTAGGGCAGGACTTCTAGTAATTTCCTCCAAATTCTCCCCATTCCAGGACCGAGAACTAGGAATCTGAGGAATGTGAGATGATTCCGACTTTTAAAAAGGCAGGTAAAATAAATATCAAGATAACTTAATGGAACCCTGAGCACTTATTCTCTCCACGTGCTGCCCCTGGCTTTAAAGGGTAGCAAAAGAATTCTTATTTGTGTATTTTCATGTCTGTGACACTTGGGTATCTCAGTTTCTCCCAGTCAGTTCAGGCTGGGGTGTGCATTATTTTGTTTTTATGTTGGCATTTGTGGAAGGTGCCAAACCTCTTGGAAATGCAGCAAAGCTGTTAAGAACTGAGTTCAAGTTCAGCTGTGCTGCATCAAAGAGGAAGAAATGAAAGGATGCAGAATGGGGGTCACATGGTGGAGAGGGGAGCTCCAGGATGCCCTGTCCCCTGTCCCAGTCCTAGAGACCATATTTTCCTCATCCAAGCTGCCTGCACTAAGAATCTCAGTGACTTTCCCATTTCAGTTTTCTCCATTAGACACTCCCAACTCTGGAGCTGCCAGTATCCCGGCAACCCTGGCACGCCCACCCCTGAAACGGGCATCTTTGCCAACTCTTTGCTTGGTTCGGATCTTGCATATGGTGTGCACAGTATGCTTGCAACAGAGCCTGGGAAGACAGAGGCCCGTGCTCCTGCTTGCTGCGGGCAGAGTTTGGTTAGCAGCAAGGCTGCTGCTCCTCCAAGATGTCTCAATCAGCAGGGCCTCCACAAACTTTTTTTTTCTTTTCTTTCTCTCTCCCTATTTTCTTTCTTTCTTCCTTTCTTCTTCCTCTTCTTCTTTTTTAAAACACTGTCTTCTCACTGCTTGTGTTGGAAGGATCAGACATGTGAGGGATTCTTTCATCCCTTCCAGGGAATTTGTGGGGAGCTGAACCAGGACGACAGGATTTGGAACCTGAGAGGGTTCCTTTTTGTCTGCAGTGGCCTGTCACCAGCCAAATCCAGTGTGTAGGTTAATAAGGCTTAAACTTTAAAGGAAGGTTGAACATCTGATTGACAAGCTAGTGAATGAGAGTCCAGGGGGAAGTTCTGGGCTTGGAAAGTTACCCGTTTCCTGAGATGCAATTGAATTTTAAAGAGCCTTCCTCTCAGGCAGAGGCGGACACCTCCAGAGGTGAACTTGCATGGAAATATCAAATCACTCTGCTAAATCCGTTTCCAGTTCGTCCCAAGATTGGAAATGAAACGGCCTCACTGAATTGCTACTTATTGTTTTTGAATCAAAGAGTGGCTAGAACCTGGTCCTCAAGTCAGAATTATCAGCTGTGAATGCTGAGGCTCCCGCACCAAGGTGGTCAGACTCGGGCTTGGGATGGCGCCATGGTGCTGAGGGTTAACGAGTGTTGAGTGTTTTGTTCTCTCCAGGGCCAGTAATGTGTCAATGCATGTTACCTTGAGAACTGGCAATACCTAAAGTAAGATTGTTTAGGGCTTATTTTTTTAGCATGTCCAAAATGATATTTACACTGCAGCTCGACATGTTGCAACTTTGCTTCATAGATTTGCTTCATAGATTCTTAAATCAGCACAAACTATTGGAAGGCCAACCCGGAGATGTTCCATCTGGGTCCCGAGACCCTGTGCACAGAAATCTGATCCTTGGCTTCCTATGATGGTGACTCCCACAGCAAGGCTCAGAATCGCCTTCCAGACAGAGGAGAGATCCATTTGCCACCCAGGTACTGTTTTTGATAAAACAATGAAAAATACAAACGGTAAGTTTTTAAGATAAGATGAACTGATCCCTCTCCCTAACACAATTGGTTTTTATTTTCTGTTGAAGTGTCATTATCTGTCCACATATATACATACATTTATAAAATTCGAACCATTTTTAAAAATAACACTTTTGTCTCAATTTTTTTATTCATAATATTATACTAGACATATTTTCATATTCTTAATAATTACTATTTTTGAAGGCTGTACCATATATATATATATATATATATATATATATGAATGTTCATTTTCTATTTGAGAGTATTTAAAATATTTACTGATTTCCCAATAGTAGCAGGAATTTGGTAAATCATATTTTTATTTACATTTTCAGAAATGAAAAAAAAAGGTACAAAAAGCATGAATAACTATGAGTTTTGCTTCATGCTGTTCTATAATTTCCTAAAGGGACTGTATCAATTTATGTCAAAAGAAGATCAGTGAACCAATTACACCTAATTTTGCCACAATTGGGGGTAATCAGGTTTTTAAAAATCTGGGCAAATTTTTATTTATTTATTTATTTAGTCGCAAAATGATACATCACGGGCAACTTTAATTTGCTCTTCTTTGGTTATTAATAAGGTAAACTATTTTTTTTGCCTTTGCATTTATAACCATCTATATTTTCTCTGAGGTGAAATATGTGTCCCTATGGAATTTTTTTTGAATAAATGAGTTTTTTTTAGAAGTCCAGCATCTATGGTTCACAGAATTACTGGAACCACTATTTCTACCAGGCCTTTGCCAGGAGGGTTTATCTTTATTTTGTTCACAGAACAAGGCACGTGTGAGCCACCTTGTACATACATTCAAGAAATTGATTTGGGGCCATGTCTGTCCAGGCCAAGGAAAGCACATTTCCAAGTGCGCACAACCAGGCTGGGGCTCTGGCCCCTGGTCCGTAGAGGTGCTCTTGCCCAGGGACAGGACTGTGCCGGCACTCTGGCGTGTATCAACCAACCGCTCTCCAGAAGCTGAGATGAATGCGGGAAAACCTGGCCAGACCTCCAAACCCCACATGCTTAGATTACCAGACATGTAGATGTT